CTTTTTCAGTGTAAAGTTGTATGAGCAATACTTTCCTCGCTGTGAATAACCATTGTCAATTTGAGTGACTTTTCTTGGATTTTGTCTTGATGTAAAAGATGCATTTTGCCACTAACTGATCCATTTCAAGTTGTCTGGAATACACCTTCTATTGAAAAACACTTTCTATATCTTAGTGCTAAACAGACTTCAACCCGTCCGATTATCCTTGAGCCCGGTCTTCTCAAATGATTCAAAAGGTAGAGATCCTTAACTTCCATGAGCATGGCTGCTTTGGTTCCATGTAAACTTCGCTCATGCTTATTTTCCAAATGTTTCACGTGTCTATTCTTCTTCAAAAGTGTCTCTTTCTCACTTATGCAATTCAAGACTAAATCAGTTTTCTAAGATCTGGCCAAAATTTCCGCATGCATGTCATGTCATTAGAACTAGCGAGAAAAGAACTAGGAATAGAATGACACGAAAGGACAAACTGTATTTTATTGAATAAGGACGGAAGGGTTTGACAACTAAACAAGCAACCTAAAATCCGAGTTACAGCCCTAAATAACCCGGATAATGAAAATAGCAACAAAAATAGACAGACATGACTCATACCAACAGAATAGAAGGATAGAAGGGTTTGACTCAATAAAACAAATAAAATCTGGATCACAACCCAGAAATAACCCAGATAACAGAAAAAATATCAAAACAAGCTACCAGGATTCCTTCCTAATACGGAGAGAATGACTTTTAAATTCCTAATCTTGACATTTAGCCACAAATTTACTCATCAGAATCACCATGGCCTTCTCCAATTTCAGTCCGCAAGCTCTCGAGAGGACTCTCATACTCCATGTCACCAGGCATCATCCCCACAAGGTGTGCATCATCATGTGCAGATAAAGGTTTCTGCACGATATTCTGGGTGTCACTGTCTTGGATCACAATTAGTTTTTCCTGGATCATCCTTTCTATTTCTCTTTTCAAATCCCGACAACTTTCAACATTGTGCCCCTGAGCATTGGAATTGTATTCACACCTTTTGGAAGGGTCAAAGCTTCTTGCACGTGGGTCCCCATGATTTGAAGGAATGGGTGCAATCATGTCATAATGCTTTAACTTCTCAAATAAGCTTGCATAGGACTCTCCTATTGGTGTAAAATTATCCTTCAACCTTTGTTCCCTTCTATACCCCTGGCTTGGATGTGGGTTATAGGGCACTTGAAAATTTTGGGGAGGCTAGTGGAGATTTTGCGGTGCTCGTGCTCGCGTTTTTCTAGGGTGTCTTGGTGGCCGGGCATCATACTGAGGTGCAACAACAGAGTATTGAGGGTTCTGAGGTGGATAATATTGCTCGGTGGAGTCATGGAAAACCTGAGGAGGCTGATCATACCTTCGAGATATTCTCCTGGGACCTCTTCTCGACCCTGATGTCATCATGATTTCTTCAACCTTCTCATTCGTGTCACCAAAATTATCGGATTCAATCTGGTCAACCTGAGTTGCGGCTTTGAGAACTGCTTGACTTATAATTCTACTTGTCTTTAAGACCATTCTCAACCATTTCCCCCATTTTGATTGCTTCCGAGAAAGATTTACCCACAGCGGATATCATGTTTTGAAAATAATCTGGCTCTTGGGCCTGAAGAAAGACAGTGATTAGCTCGTGGTCATCCATGGGTGGCTTAACTCTAGCTGCTTGTTCTCTCCATTTAATGGCATATTCCCTGAAATTTTCAGTTGGTTTCTTCTTTAGATTTGAAAGGGAAATGCGGTCTGGGGCAATGTCGATGTTGTATTGGAACTGTTTGACAAAGGCCCGTGCCATGTCATCCCAGACATACCAGCGAGACGTGTCTTCATCCATAAACCATTCGGAGGCTACTCCCGTAAGGCTTTCCCCAAAGTAAGCCATCAGCAATTCTTCATTTCTTCCCGCACCTCTCAGTTGATTGCAATACCTTTTCAGGTGGGCTATGGGGTCTCCATGTCCATCATACTTTTCAAATTTGGGAGTCTTGAAACCAGGCGGCAAGTGGACATCGGGGAGCATACATAGATCTTTGAAGGCAACACTCTTTTGACCTGCCAACCCTTGCATGTTTTTCAACCGTTGTTCTAAGCTTTTCACTCTTTGGGTCATTCCTTCCTGTACCATCTTTCGGGCAGGCTTCTCAATGTTTGCAGGAAGATCAAACGAGTACGAGTGGTACTCAGAAGAGTGGTACTGCTCTTGCTGGGTAGCAAATTGTGACTCATGACAAGGTTGTCCTTGGCCATTGGCCCATGCTTGACACATTTTGGTCATTTGCTGTTTCAATATTCTATTTTCCTCAACCACAGTAGACTCTTGTCGAACCCTCTGACCCGGAGTCTCTTGAGCACTTGTAACAACTTCGATGTCAGTTATCATTTTTCCTTGAATCTTGTGTTGTCCGCTTACCACAAACCGACCACCTCAAACTTTTTTCACTATTCAAAATAAAAGGCATGTTAGAATGGACTCAGTCAGTCCTTATTATTATCAACATTTTCACTTTTGTTTTTCATTTTTCTTTTTCTTTTCTTTTCAATGGTTGATCGAACCTGGCGTGGGTTGCCTACGTATCATGTGGGAACATGAATCAGATCTTGCGTAGTTCGGGAAGATCAAGAATAAAGTAAATAAACTAACTTTTTTTTTTTGAATTTTTCATTTTATTTTTTCTAAAGAAAGAGAATAGTTTTGGATTTTGATTTTTCTTCAAAATTTTTAAGAAAGATTTCTAAAGAAAAGAGATATTTTTTCGAATATCGACCTTTTATTTATTTTTATTTTTTTGGAATTTCGAAGAAAAACTTCTAAAGAAGAATGAAAATATTTTTGGATTTTTGGAATTTTATTTTGAATTTATGAAAGAAATGCTTCTAAAGGAAAAGAAAATATTTTCGAATCTTGAATTTTCTTTTCAATTTTTGAAAGAAGAATGAAAATATTTTTGGATTTTGAGAGAGATTAAAAGAAAATATTTTTGTATTTTTTTATTTAAAATTGGGGCCTAAAAGAAAGACTTTCTAAAGAAGGAACTAAAGGAAAATATTTTTTGGATTTTTTGAAAATTGTGGGCCGGAACCGATGAGGTTTGCCTACGTATCCCACATCCGGTGAGAATCAGACCCGCGTAGTTCTCCCATTTTGACGGAACAAGAAAGACATGACTTATTTTGAAATGACTTTTATTTTTTTGTTTTTTTTTGAATTTCGGGAGAGTTTCAGAATTTTCTAAATACCTACCTCTCACTTCTTTTTTGATTTTCTTTTTTCTCTTTTTTTTTTAATTTTCTTTCCCTATTCTAGAAGCCAGTCAGCATGCAAGTCTGAACAGACAGATACGCAAGTAGCATGTAAGATGCATCAGGATGGTCTTTTATTTGGGTACACCTATCCTAGACAGACCCAACCCTTGTGTTGAGTCTCCTAAGTCAAATGCACTTGATGCAAACAAGACGTTCCTACTAGGGATCCGGCATGAGGCTTTGTTATACTAGGTTTAAAACCTGGGTTTATTGTTCTAGACCTGGCTTACCCGAGCGGACAACTCGAGCCGGGGGGGGAGGGGGGGGAGCAGCGTACCGGGAATACAGAAGCTTCACCGGCTTTGCAACTTGTCCGAACCTCGTTCTAAAATAGGATAAGACTCTAGACAGAAGAGAAGTCACACGAAGTGCACCCTTCTCCATGATTTAGAAGACTCAGAGAGAGAAAGGGTTTCGTAGCAGTTTATATACAATTCACAAAATATCAAAGCGGTAAAAGCATTTAGCACATTGGGCTCAAACATGTAGGAAAATCATATAACAGATAAAGCCAATCATAACAACTATTCTAAGCTCGAATTCTTGAACCCTGAACCGAAGTTCTGAGTTTGGATCCCCAGCGGAGTCGCCAGAGCTGTCACACCTCCTTTTTACGCACCCGAAGGTAGTACAAGGGAGTTTTTCCAATTTAAGTGACATTATTCGAAATGAGATTATTTATTCAATTTTATTCAGAGTCACCACTTGGAATAGTTTATTGGTGTCCCAAGTCACCGGTTTATTTTAAATCCCAAATCGAGGAAATTTTCTACTTTCCTTTTGAAGTCTGCGAACCAGAAATTCTGAATAAGGAATTCTGTTAACCCGGAGGAAGGTGTTAGGCATCCCTGGATTCCGTGGTTCTAGCACGGTCGCTTAAACTATTATAAAGGGCTTATTATCTGGTTTTAGTACATGTTCAAACCTATGTGCATTTTAAATTTAAAACCGCTTTTATTTATTTTAAAGAAGATCTAACGTCGTCTAAAATATATTTTGGACCGCGTCACATGAAATGCACCCGCAATCCGAAACACATTCTATTCAACGTTATTAAGATTTGGACGTGAAATGCGCACCCGAGTTTAGGAAGGTAATTTTAAGATTACGCGCCTAAAGCAACTACGCGTTTTCAACTTTGTGAGGGCCGTAGAAAATTCGCTAAACGACGCGCCTCGAATTCTAAGGATAAACGATAACTCACAATGGTAGCATATTCATAAAGACAAGACTAAATTATCCTACAAAGTTATACAACTAATACTTTTCAAAAATAAAATCTTCGAGAACGAATGAAACAAGAAGCAGAAAGACTACTCTAAACTAAACATTTAGTAAAAAAAAATAACAATTCTTAGTTCCAACAGAACTAAGAACGATTCACGTTCTTCAAACAAGAATGGAAATTTTAAGCTCAAAGATTATTCACCAATCTAAACGTAAAATTAATAACTAAAAAAAAAAAAGAAAGCTGAAACATTCAGTACATATTTCCTCGTGGCAAAAGAATACCATGATTTCAATTGCAACAAACTTAGAACACTTCCAAAAAATTAATCATTAAATGAACTAAATACATAATAAAAGAAATTCAATCCCTTTCCACATATCACCCAAATCAAAGTTATTTATTCACATGCTTAAGAATTGATTTGAGAATATAATGGAAGAAACCAAACCTTACTGTTGAGAAGGAAATCGGATCAAAACAAGAGGACCGACGATCCGGACCCAAATACGACCTCGAAAATCTGACAGAAACTTCAACCAAACTCTATTTCTGAAACCAAACTGAAATCGAGAAGGAAGGAGCATAAACGTATCACCCCCTTTTTAATTTTTTTTTTTGAAATCATGCTGCTAACTTTCCATTCTTGTGGTTGTTGATGGAGGGTTGAGATGGCAGAAGCTCTTTTGTTTTAATTGGATTCAAAGTTTGTGAAGGAGTCAGGTGTTCTTTTTGAGATTTGGTATCTCTTTTTGGGAAGATCCAAATTAGAAAAGGGTGTTGCCGCCGTCTCCTTTTGCAGATTTTTGGGTTTTTTTTTTTTTTTTTGGTGTATAGGGTGTTTGTATATTTAGGTTTTAGCTACTATTATATAGGGGTAGGGATTAGGTTAGGGGTATGGGCCTAGGGATTATGGGCTAGGAAATTGGGCCAAAGACTAAAAAAATGGACTACAAGATTTATAAATACGGGATAAACCAACCTAAAACTAATTCCTCCTTCTAAACTTATATACAATTATAATATAAAAGTATAAAACTAATTTTAATTAATTGAACTAAACTATAAAACATAAAACTATTTTTTGTGTTTTCAAGATCATACAAAGATAAGGTACTATTTTTTGTATATTTTTTATTTAAATTTACGAAAGATACGTAAGCTAAAATATTTTTTTGTAATTTTTATTTTTGTGACGAAATAAAGTAAAAGAGTCAAAATTATTTAAAATAACGATATTAAACCTAAACTAAATATTTTATGCTAAAAATATGTAAAATCTTGGGGAGGGTCAAAAATCACATGTCTACACTTATCATCTTGAGCTATCTAAGGCTCAACTATTGGTGTCGCTGCGTGTGCTCTAGGCTGAGCTCTGCCTCTACCTCTACCTCTGCCCTTGCCCCGGCCTCTACCTCTAGTTGTGGCTGCAACCTGGGGCTCTGGCTCCTAATCAGCAGCGAACGGAACATGTGTTCTCACCATCTACAAGAGAATAAGAAAAATGATTCAAACTTCATGATAGAACAAATCACGATAGAGAAAGAAGAAAGTGAAGTTTCCTAACGCCTTATGGCCTCTACAAGATAAGTACAAATGTCTCTGTACCAAACCTCAAGACTCTACCAAGCTTGCTCATGCCTCATGAGACCTATGCAACCTAGGGCTCTGATACCAACTTGTTATGATCGAAAATCTCAATCATGGGACCGTGATGGCACCTAACATTCGCTTGATAGGCAAGCCAACATTAGCTAAACGATAAAAGTAGCTTAACAATTTTAAAAACATAATAATAAGAAATGAAGAGTGAAATCTCACAAAATGTATAATAAATCCATAACCATTGCTGTCTAAGACTATTCTTGGAATCTGGTGTCACAAGTACATGAGCCACTAGAATACTACATATAAGTCCGAAAGGAAATACAAAACTGTCTCATACAAGATAAACAACAAAAAGGATAAGAAGGGACTCTAGGGTCTGCGGATGCCAAGCAGCACCACCTCAAGTCTTCTGAGAAAGTCCAAGCTATCACCTCTGAACGTCGCTAAGCTATCATCGGGATCTGCACAAGAAGTACAGAATTATAGTATGAGTACAACCGACCCCATGTACTCAGCAAGTATCGAGCCTAACCTTGACGAGGTAGTGCCGAGGCAATGACAAGTCACTCACTGTAAACCTATACGAGTATTAGGCAGAGACACATTACAATTTAGAGAAACGAATAATTAAACAACGAACAGAATAAAAGAAGTAGATAACAGAGGGCTCGAGAATAACATCATGTCGCAACCTCATAACACAACACGATATTGCTACATAACAATCAAGAATAATTACATAACATTCTTTCCGTTGTGGCGCACAACCTGATCCCAAATATTAATACGAATATCGTTGTGGCACATAAGCTGATCTAATATATAATTACACTGTTGCGGGTACAACCCGATCCAGTATATAATAATATTGTTGCGGCGTGCAACCCGATCCAATTATATAATAATACTGTTGTAGCGTGCACCCCGATCCAATATAATAATATTGTTGCAGTGTGCAACCCGATCCAATATGTGTTAATACTGTGATGCAATATATAATAATACTATTGCGGCGTACAACCCAATCCAATATATATAATAACAACCTACTACGGGGAATCTCACAACATAACGTAAAAGGGAACAAAGACGCATAATTCTCTAAGATAATCCGATATAACATAGTAAAGTGAAACATAAAACAAAGAAAGGTAATAAGACAAGTAAAGACATGAGATTAGAGTGAATTGAACTAGAATTCACTTGATGATTAGTTCAATCATGTAGCCAAGACTTCTCTCTGGATTAACTCTTAATTCTACGAGGTGAACTGATATAAAGCATTGTGAAGATATGCAAGAAAACGTTAATAGACTAGTCTCACGTCTCTCGAATATTCTCCTAACTTGATTTAATCAACAATTCAACAAGCTCTTTCGGTTACTTAAAAGAATCACTGAATTAAACTTACAAAATAATGCAAAGATAATTATCCAAATTATTCCTCTTTCGATTAAATAATGCGGTGAACAAAATTGCAATCAATTCAAAGCTCTATAAACGAATTCATACAAGGAACTAGAGTTAAAATCCATAAATATGAATCAAAACACCATATCCGTCAAACCCTAAAGTAAACTACTCCATAATAATGGCGAAAGTCATCACAAATAAAGTTGAAAAGTAAGAAAATATAAATTCAATCCAAACTCGGGTATTGAGTTGAGGAAAGAATGATGAATCCTTGTGCTTTGAGTCTCCAATGCTCTTCCAATCTTCCGTAGGTTAAAAGCCCCTTCAAAAATGTATTTTTGGTGTATTTATACCATGTAGAAGCGGGTCCTGATGGAACTACCCTTTCCAAGCCAAAGTGGAAAATTACTCTAAGAAAAATATACAGGCGCCGCGCTAGTGGGAAAGTTCAGAGGGCAGTTTCTTTTCCTACTCTGCAGCAATTTTGCACAAGCACCTTGTGCCCCGTGGCGCAGTGGTGTATTTTTCTCACCTTTTGACATTCAGACTTGGTCCTCGATCCCCTAACGTGATCCCGGCTTAATTTCTTGGCCTCCACTTAGACTTCAAAGCTCCAAATCATCCATTTTAGCTCCAAACTTGTTTCTTCACTTGAAATCACATCCTACACAATATAACACACGTAATAATTACAAAGTACTAATAATTAGGCTCATACAATCAAAGTGTAGCAATTAGAGTGTGCAATTTTAGTTAAAAATATGAGTTCCTAGCTTATCATCAATCATCTAAGAGAATGTAACAAATAAAGGCGTATAATAACTAAAAGTATAAAATAAGCTAGAACATGTAACAATTAAGGGCATGTAACAAGAAAGGACACATATATCAAGTAAAACATATATCACGTATGAGCACCTAACAATAATAACATGAACTAAGAAGAAAATATGGTATAATTAAAGATGCAAAATAAAGTAATACCCCCCTCCCCCGCGCATGCTTAAACTTATGACAATGCATATACACTCGTCATTCTGCATTTACACTGTCTCCACGCATAGATCACATAGCAAATAGACCAATCAAGTCCTAATTCCCTCAAATAAAAGTTAACCACGATACTTACCTCTTTTCGGAACAAGATAAACAACTCAACACGGCTTTTCTTTAAGAAAAAGCCTCCAAACCACCCAAATTTAGTCAATTACTGTTCAAACAAATCAAAACAAGATTTAGAAACTACCCTCGTACGAAAAAGGTTCAATGACCCATTCATCCCCGAGTACAAATATGTAATTTTTTTCGAAATTCGACCTCAATTTGAGGTCTAAATCTCAGTTTTATAAAATCCCAAAGGGCTACCCAAAGCCTCAATTTTTAACCTATGAAATCTTAGTTTTGATAATGAAATTTATGAAAAAGTAATGAAAATAAGTTTAAGCTATTAACCTATGAAATTGGGAAAAAATTGCTCTCCATAAATCCCTTCTATGGAGTCTAGGTATAAAAAATGGTGTAAAATAAGTTAAGTCCTGAAATCCCAACATTTTACTTGGATGCAGGTGATGTCCGCAAATGCGAACCACTGTTCGCAAATGCGACCAGTGCCCGAGCCTCCTAAATGTCACAAATGCGGCTACACATTCGCATTGGCGAAGGTCCAATCCTTCGAAATTGCAAACAAAACTTTACATATGTGAAGCTGTCCAACCACTGCCCATTATCGCAAATGCGACACAACCATCGCAATTACGATAACCCTCCAGTTTGCAAAAGCGACCAAGACTTTGCAAAAGCAAAGTTTTCCTGCCCCTACCGAGCATCGCAAATACGAGCATTGTCTCACAAATGCGAGGATCGCATTTTGCAAACAGAACCTCGCAAATGCAAGATCTGCAGGCCAACAATACCAACAAACACAATAGCTATGCAAAACAGTTCGCAACCTATGCGAAACTCATCCGAGCCCCCCCGGGCTCCAATTCGAACAATCACACAAGTACAATAACATCATACAAACTTTGTGTCAAGATAAAATCATCAAAACAATATCTAAAATCAAGAATCAATCATCATGCTGCCATGTGACCAGGAGGTCACGAGTTTGAGCCGCGGAAATAACCTCTTGCGGAAATGCAGGGTAAGGCTGCGTACGATAGACCTTTGTGTCCGGCCCTTCCCCGAACCTCGCGTATAGCGGGAGCTTATTACACCGGTCTACCCAAGAATCAATCATCAAAACTCAAGATTTTGAAAGTTCAAACTCAAATTTTCAACTTTCCACATTATGCGCCGAAACGGCCTCGGGTCACCTGGTACCCCAACCAAACATGCGTACAAGATCAAAATCATCATACGAACCTACCAAAATTTTCAAAATACTAATCTGGGATCGTTTATAAAAAATATTGACTGTGGTCAACTCTAGTCATTTTGCCAAGTCAAAAATCACATTTCTTTAACAATTCACATTTAAACTTTTCGGAAATCGACACGGATCATCCACGCAAGCTATAATTCATCAAATAGAGTTATGGAAGGTCTAAAAATATAAAATTGGGAGATAGTTGTATACGGTCGAAATTGTATGCCTCCGATCTATGGGCTCGAGGAGTCATTTTGAGCCCGAGTTTGGGCAAGGTCGAGTTCGAGCTCGAGGGACCAGATCCAAGCTCGAGGACAGAGTGCAATGCCCGAAGATTGAAGCATGACGTACACCGAGGCTGAGTATGCTCGATCCCAAAATTGTACCATTGAGGATTTGTAACAGAATGAGCTAGACTCCTGCCACGTCCCCATGATCAT